CCTCAACCCGCGTCCTCCCCAGCTCTTAAAGTGGTATCGCCCATCCAACCCTTCACACACGCGTAGATTTGGACGCATCGACATTTGAAGGTCATCCTTCCCCTCTTCATTTTAGCTCTAGCCATAGACAACTTCGGAACTAAACTATTATCTTTTACTGAGGAGGAAAAAAAAAAAAAGAGCCGGGAAAACGGGAGGAATTTTGCTGTTTACAGGCTCCAGTACAAACTGGCTGAAGCCTTTACACCACGTGCTGCACAAACCTCCACTTTTGTTTTGTTCTGTTTTCTGACGCAGGGTCTCATGTAGCCCAGTTTGGTCCCGAACTTGTTACGTAGCTGAGGAAGACCTTAAACTCTTGATCCTTTTCACCTCCACCTCCCCAATGCTGGGGTTGTACGCTGTGGTACAGTTGTTTCCCCAACTCCTGCTGAAAGACCCCTGCCCTTAGCTTTTTCTTTTAAGGTTGCCTCCTCCTCCGGTCGGCAGCTGGCGGAGTGCGCGGGGAATACATCCTCCCCTGCACTCCCAGACCCTTGATCCCCACAGCTGCCGGCTCTCACTTCCCCACCGCCGCGCAAGGCCGGCCCCCGCCGGATCGCTTCATCCCAAGGTCAGCCATCTGGACGCAGCAGAAGATAAAGGCCGTTTCGCCTGACTACTACTGTGCCCTTTTTCCCCTATAAAAGGACCCCCCTTCCGGGGCTCGGGGCTTGGCCTAACAGAAGCTAAGCCCCCGGGTACGCGTGCCACCAATAAAGCATCTTGCTTTTGCATCCAAGTTCGTGGTCTCGCTGATTCCTGGGTGCGGGTCTCCTACGAAAGTACCTCTTCGGTGGTCTTTCATTTGGGGGCTCGTCCGGGATCGAGACCCGCCCAGGGACCACCGACCCACGTCTGGGAGGTAAGCGTTGTGCGGATCCGCTGTCTTGTTTTTTTGTCTTGTCTCGTCTTGGCTGTCTGTCTGAATCCGTCTTATGAACTGCGCCTGCGTTTGCAGTACCCAGCTGCGTACAATTGTATTTGGCGGCTCCAGGAGACGTCCTGGTAGCGTTTGGAGCCTCAGTGAGCTCATTTGTTTTCTGGCTAGGGTAGATGCCTTAGCATTTGGAGCCTCAGTGGGTTTATTTGTTTTCTGGAGTTTTACTTTCTGTCGAAACCGCGCTGCGAAAGCCTGTTCTGTGTTGTTTGGTCCTTGTTTTGTAGTTGATGTGCATGAACGCAAATGGATTACTCTTTGTTCCTCAGAATGGCCAGCCTTTGACGTGGGCTGGCCGCGGGATGATACCTTTAACCCCCAAACTATATTTCAGGTAAAAGACACCCCAAGGGCCCCCCCTTCCTTT